CCCTAACTACATTAAGATTAATAAGAATGCTTTTCTCCCAAAGGAAAACAATAGACATCAGAGAAGAAGCCCTATTCTCTCCAGGGGACTTGGTTTAGATCAGGGTAATCTACCCAAGAGGCTTGGCTGAGCACAGGATGCTGTAAGAACCCATAAGGAAAACCTGGTCAGTTTGGTTGACACAATCTGATGCATAAACATGTGGGTACTTAGAATTAGAGAATCAAGTCTAAACCAGAACAACAACAACAAAAACCCCTTGGTTTCTAAGACACTGGACCATGCGCCCAGCACATGCTGAATCAGCAGCATAATCTGGTAATGAACAAGCAAATCCAGTGGTTCCCAATCTTGATAATCAGCGTTTCTCAGAGTTACCCACGCATGGAAATCACCTGGAAGGCTTGTCAGAGCAGAGACGGCTTGGCACCTGACTCTGAGCTAACTCAAGAAGTCTGGAGTGAAGCCCAAAAGTTGCGTTTCCTAAAATACCCCAAGATGAGGAAGTTTTCTCTGGCCTGAGGATCACACTTTGAGTACAAGGTATTAAAATAACTCGAGGAGCTTTAAAAAAAACCACTGCTTTTGCAGCATGCCACATCATGTTCATTAGAATCTTTAAATGTGGAACAAAGACACCAGTCTTTAATGTTCTAAACAACTCCAGAGTGCAGACAAGTTAAGAACCACTGGTTTAAACTAAGAACAAAAATCATCATTCGAATGTTCTAAATAAATAGGTGGATTCAGAAAGTCAAACACAAATCCACTCTTTGTGTTGGTTTAAATATCTATAATTTACTAAGCATGAATTTTTGTGTATATGTATGTGGGCACAAATTAGCTTAATAAACCTCACAAAGATGGGAGTTAACAAACAAGAAAAATTATACTGAGAAGTCCATATTCCAGGGGTGATGACTCTGGAATATAAAGAGCTTTAAATATCCCTGCCTGCATCTACATAAGAGATAATGAGAAATAGCAGAAGGGATATGAGAAACAATTTTCATCAAATGTAAGCGGTCAGCACATACGCGGCGGCTGTAAACACTTCACAAGCTTCTAGCAAACTCAGCAGGCAGAGTCTGGAGGAGTGCTCCCTGCCCACCTTACACTGAGTCTGTGTCCGACGACGGACAGAGGCTTCTATCGCTTGACCCGATCTGAGGGTTGGCTAATCCTGCTGTCCAAACACATACTATTACATCTTGAGTAATCTTTTCACGTACCAGTTACAGGCTAGAATGTGCAAAAGAGAACAGAAAGTATACTGTAGTTTCCAGGATTTGTGTTTCTCCAGCTTTTTAAAAAAAAAGATATACCTGAACTTCACTAAGTTTCATCTGTACAAAGTGTACAATTAGTTGTCACGCACGTCTCACACACATATTTTCTTTTTAAGCCATCATCACAGTCAAGGTAACATTGCCTTCAATGACATAAATTTCCCTATTGTTCTTTTTAACTTACACCTGTTTCCATCCCAATCACATTCAAGATTTTTTTTCTGTTGCTCTGTATTGATTCAAAAAAATGGAACTATATCACATGTACTAATTTCTTTCTGCATAATTTCATTCCTTTTAACAATTTTGAGACTGATAATAATGCATGTACTCACAACTTGTCCCTTCACTTTCATAAATAATCCCTTATTCTGTGGATATAGCATATTATTCATTATTTATTCACCTGTTAATGAATAGTAAGGTTGTTTCCAGTTGGGGGCTATATTATAAACACGTGAAGTCTTTGTGCAGGCAAAAAAATGGCTGAAGTATGCAGCAAGTGTGTGTTCAGCTTTGTAAAAAACAACCACACAGCCTTCTACAAAGATTGTTTCATGTAACATTCCAGTATAGAAGAGTGCGATGGCTCTCTATGCCTTACGAAATATTTGTCATGGTCAAGCTATATTTTCGCCATCCTAATAATAACTCATCATATTTTAATTTTCATTTTAAGATTCAAATTAATTCAATTTAATTTTTCATTTCCAGTAAAATGAAAAGTAGAAAGCAGGCACTGACTCCTGAAAAAGTGGAGGTTAGTAAAGCATTTAATGCCAACTCCCTCTAGTGTGCAGGGCTGGTATATAAATGTAAAACAAAGCAAAACAAAAAACTACTAAGACCAATCTCTTCATAGGCTTAAATTTCCCTCCAATCCACTCCTTTGATGTTTGAAATGAGAATTTCAACTCGCTAATAAAATTAGCTTCATGCTGGCTTCTACAGAGCACTCCAACTCTATGATCTAAGAATACAGAACTCAGGGTAGCACATTTGGCTGTGTCTCCAGCATCCCACATGAATGCCAGTTCGAGAACTGGCTGCTACGCTTCCACTTCATCCAGCTCCTTGAAACGTACTCTGGAAAATCAGCAGAAGACGGCCCAAGTCTTTTACCTCTGCAATCCACATATGAAAGAGACACAGATGGAATTCCAGGCTCCTGGTTTCAGCCTGGTCCAGCCCCAGCCACAGTGGCTATTTGGACATTGAGCCAGTGGATGGGACATTTCTCTCTCTCTCTCTCTCTCTCTCTCTCTCTCTCTCTCTCTCTCTCTCTCTCTCTCTCTAACTCTACCTTAGAAAGAAATAAGTAAACCTTAAAAATAACCCTAGAATACATCCTTCAAAATTCTTTATATCCAGATTTTTTATTGCTTGGAAAGTACTTGAATCCAACAAATGCTTTTGTAGTACCAAGGGTATGGGAATATTAGGAACATTTGAAAACTGAAATCCCTACATCCTCCACTAAACGCCTATTATTCCAGTGAACATGAAGCAATTTTCTTCTCTTGGCACTAACAATAACATGAGTTTCTTCCCATGTGGCTTCCATGTCCCCTGTTTGATTTGCATGGAGGTTTCGACTGAAACCCCTGGAGACTCCAACTGGGATTCATGTTCTGAATCATTCAAAAATAAAGAAAAATAACTATCTACTCTCCCTACATCCAAAATGAAAAAAGATAAAAGGAGACCTTACTTTGCCTACATGGAAACATTCTCCTATCTATCTCAGAAATAGGAAAATTGCTGTCTTCAGCAGCCAGCCTGTCATGTGTAACTCCAGTGACCCCTGTCCCTAAGACAGAAATCAGGGAAAATCAAGGCAGGGAAACTGTGCTCCATGCTTTTTTTTTTTTTTTTTAATTTTGAGCCCTGAACAATCCTCACACACAAAAAAGCAAAGTTCAAAACTGACAGTGCAATTCAATTCCCAGGACCACAGACAGGTGAGTGTGTGGCCCACTGTGATGAGCAAGATGCACAACAAGGAGAACCATGGAGTATATTTCTCTCTCTCTCTCTCCTTTTCTCTATTTCTCCCTCTCTGCAACCCCAACTTTCAAATAAAAAAAAAATTTAAGTCTCACAGTTTCATATAAAAGACTTTATAAAAGACTTTATAAAAGTCTTTAAATCTGATAGTATCCCAGATCTGCAAAAGACCTTATAAAAATCAGCATAAGTTAAAAGTTCTGGGTAATGGCCTAGCACTTTGGCTCAGTAACTAAATTCTTACTTTGCAAGCACCATGATCCCTGTCAGTTCATGTCCCAACTGCTCCACTTCCCATCCAGCTCCCTGCTTGTGGCCTGGGAAAGCAGTCGAGGGTGACCCAAAGCCTTGAGACCCTGCACCTGCATGGGAGACCCAGAAGCAGCTCCTGGCTCCTGGCTTTGGATTGGCTCAGCTCTGGCTATTGTGGCCACCTGGGAAGTGAACCAGTAGACAGGAAATCTTTCTCTCCTTCTCTCTGTAAACCTGCCTTTCCAATAAAAATAAACAAAACTTAAAAAACAAAAAAGAGTCCTGGGTCAATAGGCTGAATATTGCACCTGCCGTGACAGTGAGCAATGCCCCGCTCGCAGTGTGCAGCTACAGTGGGAAACCTGTACCTCACTCGGAAACCCATATAGTTCTCGAGGGACAATCTGGAAGAATGCACTGGCTAACGCAGCATAATCTTGTATTTCGGGCATTTGAACTCACAATGGTTATTTTAAATAGTCGCTGCTGAGGGTAGACCCGTAAACAATAAAATATGCTGGAAGGATCATTTTGTATATCTGGTCAAGAGATATCACATTAGTGTATAGCAAAACATATGGTCATTTTTGCTATTTTGTTTATACATTTCTATTCCATTTTAATAAATATCTTTAGAGAATCCCTTACTCTGTCAAATATTTTCCTGAGTCCTTTCACATCACTGCCATAGAACAATATCACAGCTTACGTTTTAGCATTTCTGTTTTTATCAGTAATTACTAAGGTTCCAATTACTAAGATTCCATTTTTAGTGAAGCAAAATCCTGCTTGTGATGAGAAGTCCTGCACACACAGAGACACACAAATCTCTGAACACAACACAGTTTTTAAAACATACCTGTCACAGAAATATTAAATATTAATTCAAGATCCGAGCATGTAAGTCCACAAAGTAGATCTCATTTGTGGATGCAGAGTTCTGAATACAGCTTGAATGCAAATTCATTGCAAATGCATTGACTAAAATGTCTGTAATTCCAGGGTAACAAATCTAATACACAGCCTCTCAGAATTAGCGTGAGAGTTCAGGGGCTAATTACCCTCTAGCATAGGAAAGGGCGCACAGAGCCTGGACATCCAATTTCTTTCCACTAAAATATGCAGCCGTCGATGTCTAGAAGGTAAGGCACTGAGATTCCCCAGCTCTGTGATGAAGCTGAATATTGGCCAACAAATTATACATCTATTAAATTCTTTCAGATTATGATTCAGCAGGATATGAGCAGGGAGAAAGAGCAGCCATGCCAGCACACAGGCAGGAGACAAGGGGCTGTCAAGAATGTAACTCAGGCAGGACCCCGGGGAGTCTCTGATTTCCTTTCCTCCTCTGCTCTATTTTGCGTATGTAAGAGTGAGTTAATCAAATGTTTCCGTATTTATGAATAATCACGCTGTTGTAAAGTGTTTAAAAAAAAGACAAAAAGATAGACATTCATTGTCACTGTTTTATTGTGATGCATCACCGACAATGTACCAGATATTGTCACTTGCTATCTGACATACCAAACATACACAAACAGTGAAGCAGGCTCAAGACTCTCACCCATCTTGGAAAACAAAGGAACCCGACGGTAACCTGTAAAGGCAATTCTATAATTAGAACAAGAAAAACAAATCGACCAATGATGAACCCAAGAGTGCTACTGAGAGGGAGCTCTCAGTCTCTGTCTCTATGCCCCTTGGAAAAATAAATAAAGTTAATCACTTGAAGTATGTCGTTGGCAGCACTACTTGAATGAACTAGCCAAAAGAGGTAACTACGCCACATTATGGCAATTGCCAAAAGAGTCAGGAAATAAGTTTCAGCCTACCACCCTCTTTTCAAGCAAGAAGACCATGTCGGTGATCTGCCCTTCTGGTGTGCATGGCTATTCATCGCTGGATAGAATCACGATCCATGTGAAGAAATGTGTATGTGCATTAGGTCAGTGCCATTAGTCTCCCTGTCAATCCTCGCTTTTTCCCCACTTTTCTCATGAAAATATGTTGACATAAATTCATGGCCAGACAACGTGCCCACAGGTAAAAATTCCTTCACATTCTACTTGTATGGCTAAACCTCTTTTACTTCTCAAAGTCTGTCTGTGATAAAGACAACTTGGATTTAAATGCTGATACAATCATCTCACTTTCAGGAACATACCTTTGTTCATGCAATGCACTGGTATGGTATACTGCCCGAGAAATTCATTTGCTGATATTAAACCTTGACTTTCAACAACAAAACGTACCATGGCCAGTTCTGGCACTTGGATAATGAATGTGAATGTTTCATTCCATCTTGGACTGAAAGCTGAAAGGCAAAGGAACAGATACAAAGAATCATAAACAATTTTTAGAAAAACAGACAGCAGCTGTTCTCCAAAATTTTCTTTGCAATGTAATAGCAGCTTGTGTTTTAGCACACTTAAATTTTTTAATATACCCAACCAAAGAAACAACGGTAACAATCTGAGGTGTTCACATTGCTAGGCAGGCCAAGTTCTTAAAATTTTCTCCGTATCATTTTATTGAATACACACAATGCCCCTCAGAGCTATTTCTATCCCATTTACCACTGGATACTGAAGAGAAAACTGAGTCACATATGTCATACAGCTTCCTTATAGTGTCACACACTTAAGCCAAGGCATTAAGGGACACAGCAGGAACTCAAAACCCAGGAGTCTGAGTTCAGTGGACAAATGCTGAATCATTATGCTAAATGACCAATGTGTCCTGACATTCCCTGAACCAAGAAACTGACACCCAAACAAGTAATATCATTTTTCCCTACTAGGTCATCTCATAGGAAGTCCTCCATACTGAGAAACTGATCTGCTTTACACTAAGTGCTCACTTCAAAGACCTAAGTTGCTGCATACTTACTGTCTCCTAAAAACACATATTGTGCCATAAAACTAATCCTTTTCAAATCAACAAATCTAAATCATGTCACAACAGGACCCAGATTATCAAAACTAGAGCATCAGATAATGCAAATGAAAAATCCATATCCAATAATATGCTCTGAGAGAGAGAAGTAAAACGTATTGCTTTTCATGTGCTAAGACAATATTTCACTAGCTATGTCAATAATATTTCAGGAGCATTGATGAATTTATGACTAATCACACTCTGTATTCTCTGTGGTGCACCAGTAGACACAAGCATACATATACCACACAGTAATCCCACCACATGCTATGTCCATGGAAATATTAAACTAATTGGCTTATACTGGAAATAATGAGTGTATAACTTTGACCTAAAAGGAAGAATGAAGACATAGGGTACAGAGGTGGATTCAGACCCTGCCATTTATCTGTGGACAGTGCAAACATCCACAGGAAATTCTTATATGGATTTATTCTTCCTCCAACCTATTGCATTTCATAAACAATTTCTGCCTCTCTTCTGTAGGCATCCGACTACCATTCACCCACTCATTTTTGCACACACATCTGCACACAGAGAATCATGTATTCATTATGTTTGGAGCTGTGAGGATTTGAATCAAGGATGGAGGAAAAAAATAAAGAAGTTACTAAAAGTTTCCTTATATTGCAATTACTGTTTCCTGACATGGCCATTAAAAATGTGCTTTCAACTCTAAGAGCTACCAGCTAAGGCAATAAGCCATCACAAATGAGTGTCCCACTGACAACATGGAATAAATCAGCAAAACCTCCCACATCGTTTTTTCCAGGCCATCTCTACTAGAGGCCATATTCAGGGGAATACAAGGAAAACAGACAGACATCTTACTAAGAATGATTACGCCAGAGGAAAATACTAATAAAACCACTGGCTCCTCCGCTAGTGCCATTTAATCTGCAGTGTATTTCCAGACTCTGAAATTAAGTCTACCATCCATTCAAACAAGATTCCAGAATCAAGAATCAGTTCCAAGGGTCATCCCCAGATGATCCTGAGCAGAAGTCAATGCAGGATCCCATCATTTTCTAACTTCCTTAGAATTGTCAACCACAGAAGTAATGACAACTCCAGCCTGCATTACTGAAAGAGAACCTTTCCAAAGTCGTTTCTCTCCAATCCCACATTTTCCCTCTGGAAAAATGGAGTGAGTTATGAATCTAACTATGGCTTCACTGAATTTTATTATATCCTTAACCTGAGACAGAAGCCATAAACCTTTGATCTAAAATAATTCAAGGAGGTAGAAATTTGTCATATGCTGTGTCACACTGAATACGGAGGTTAGAAACCAAGTATATTTGCAGCTGTCAAAATGTCACTCTTAATTCAGTAACATGGAGAGGGGTGGATACCAGGAAAAGGAGCAAAAGAGAAAAACCAAAATTTTGCAGGTCATATTAATTTTTGTGTGTATAATCTGAAAACCCACCTAACAACCTTACCAGTATCAAATTGCTTTTAAAGCATAAAACATTTCAGTCCTCTTGAGCACAATGAAGATTCTATAATGCGGCTTGTAAGTTTTCCAACAGTAAGTCTTAATGCAAGCGCTATGCTATTTACTGGGAGCTCACCATTTTTTTTAATGACACGAGTCTGCTGTTTCACCTGATCGTTTGGAACACCAAACACTTCTAGAATCACCAGGGCATCAGCCTTGTTAGTGGAGGAGCTGCTCAGAGGCAACTGGATCCCACTGATGATCTGTACACACAAGTACGAGAACGCAGCAGAGGATTAAACAGCATCACCACTGAATTTACAAATACACCAAATGAATTTCAAAAGCAACAATAGACTCTTGTTAGTTCTTACACAACTGAAGTTGAAAAACAATGAAAGTTGTAAAGTTTAAGTCTTTCGTCTTTAAGTCTCAGTAGGTAAGTGTCAAAACATCTAAAACCATCCCATTTGGCAGAAATGTGATTACACTAGAATCTACAGTGCCCCATGTTTGTGATTCATTAACAAATATTTCTATTTTAAAGACACTGTGACGATCACTTCTTGCTATCATATATGCTGTTATTTTGATAACATCTACTATTTTTAAATTCATATTATATACAGCAAAAAATCCAAACATGAACACTACTCAAATATAATAAAACATCACTATATAAAAGTAAATTGTTGATATTCATAATATTAACGTATATTATCAAGTTTATATAACAATGAAAGAAGGTAAAGTAAGTTACTTATCTTACCCTTATTGTAAGAGTAATTGGAGCAGATTCACTTATTTTATGGGGGTTAAACTGTGAGTTAATATCTCTCAGGAACTGGGGTTTCAGAACATATCCAGAACAACCATTATCCGAAAACCTCCCATTTTGCAGGTCCATAGGTAAACCAGGAGTCTGAAAATTCAAGGCCACTGGAAGAAAAAATGGCATTATCATAAAATCGGAAGATAGTTTAAGAAACAGCTGAACAATTGACTGAAATCTACTCATGGAATAATTAAATGTTCTCTTACAAAAATATCATTAGCTTAATAGTTGTTGAATTTTATACATCTTCCTCCTGACACACTTGAGTTCATGTATACTGGTGAGTTGCCATGTTTAATCTATAAGCTAAATTACAAAGTTTCAGTAGAGAAAGCAAGATAGCACACAGTATTAATTACAGGATAGACAATGTCTATGTTAGTTGCCATTCAAGAAATGTAAGAATAGAGAAAACAACTAATTCAGATTGAGGGCATAAAGCTATCAATCATATTCTAATCACCAAGAGGTGTAGTCACCCCTTTGGAAAGACATGAGGAATACACAGACAAATCATTGTTAAGTAACTGAATACAGGCTATTAAACAGTAGCCGTGCACAAAACCACCTTCACTCTCTACCCCAAACACCTGCCACCTCCCACTTGGCCCCTTAAGCCAATAGGCCTTCCCCAACTCAGAGAAAGCAGAGTTAACACCTGGAATGTTCTGACTGGCTACTTCCAGTGCTCCGCAAGCTGTTCCATTTGGAATAGCATCCTGGTGAGACTCAATCATAGAGCTATCACTGCCATTCACTTTCCAAGGCTATGAATACAGACGTCCATGTGACATATAAGTGATAAAAGTTATTTGATCTGAAGATGTCTTAAGCACAACTTTCAAAGCATGCGGCTTGATCTTTAATGTTCCCTGACACCCATTTGGGCTGCCTTCTTTCCCTCCACCACATGTGCCCACACTAACTCCTCATGAATTAACGTCCATGCCCCCAACCTCAGCTGAATGCATCCTCTCCAACCCATGTAGGAATAACCCAGCTTCAAGCCAATTTTGTGCCTTTAATGCCTCACCTTAAGGTCTAGGAATGTCTTTTCACTAATATCATCAATGTATAAAATATATTTATTTCATCTTACTTTTGCAAATCACACAATCTCCTATATAACATACCCATTTGACAACCTACATTCCAAAATTCTTGAGGATTAAAATTAGAAGAGTCCGCTCTCATTGCTTTGGGATATATTCTGGTAATGAACTTCCTGGTATGATAAATAAACTCACTGACTAAAATTTAAAAAAAAAATGAAACACATTGTAAAAGATATCAAATAACGTAGATAATCTACTATAAATATTACATAATTCTATAATGGTTTCCATAATGTTCACATTTATCAATCTGACATAGATATTTGTAATTTATGAAAATCAAGGAAGTTAGTTAGCAATAACGTACTGCTAACTAATACTAATTTAATTACAGAATTTAAGCACATTGATCATTCAGTTGAGAAAAAAAATGTATTAATTGACAGGATAATTTATATTTTTCCCATCAAAACTAATTGTATTTTGACATAACAATACATATTTTTAAAAGCCCAAATTCATTTCCAATACAAATGGAATATGTGCCTATTTTTGCTTTGATGTTCATCTTAATACATAATCACAAGTCAGTTATGTAAAGCTATGTTAGGCTAAATTAATTAGGTTGACCGTTTAAGGGAAAAAGTGCCTCAATTTATCCACTTCATCTCCTGATAATTCCACCCCAGCACCTTCCTCAGAAATTAATTCGTTCTGTTTATGTTCTGCCATTGAAAAACTCATTACTTTCCAATACTATAAATTACTTCAAATGCCTTTTTTCCTGAGGTAACAATGATACACTTGTCATACGCACATACAGACACATCCATGTATGTGTACACACATAGTCCACTTGAGTCTTCTTTATATGCCATATAAATAGCTTGAAATTCAAAACAGACACTCATTACAACTTGACACATATTGAGTTTTGTGTAAGATTCATCCGTCTCTTAGACTCTTTCTTTCACTAGACAGACTGTGCTCATACAACTATTATTTACTGATCTTAACATCTTTCAGGGATTGTAACTTAAACACTTTCTCTGAATCACAAGTACTTACCTTTCAATTTAGAGAGTTTTCGAGCACGAGTCTCCCCAATAGAATTGTTTTCATTAAACTGTTGATACAGCTTTGAATGTTGAAAGTTTCTGAACTTCTCAGACTTAGTATAAATGACAAGATCAGATAAGGCCAGAGCTATTTTTATCTTCCTGGTCTAAAAATAAAATGGAGTAATTTCACATTTCACACAGTTTTTTTTCCAAAACACATTTTCAAATGGACAATTTTACTCTTTGAATAGTACTACCTCCTCTAAACTTTTTGGATTTAAGATAACGTGATTGTTTTATGACTGTAATATTTAATATAATCTAGCCTCAATTTAAAAAATCCCAATTAATATAGTAAATATGGAGGACGGCAATGATGACCGCTTCCTTTTATCCCAAACATTGAAATTGATTCTTATGAACTTTGTAAATCTAGAAATTTTAGTCTGAGTAGGTATATTTCAGTTAGAGCTGAGCTAACAAATAACTTTTAAAATATAGCAGCCATTTGCTTTCATAACCCAGCATGTTTTCAATACACTTGATTAGATATTTCCCAAGTTTTGCTTTTGGAAGCTATCACATTTGCAGGATCAACCCATATGTTGCCAACATAAGGATCATGAAGACTGAGCCTAGCTAATCAACGATTTGCATCAATAAATTGGTTCAGGGACATATACACAAGAATATCATAATTAATCTATTCAACAATTCTGCTTGTTCTGCTGAAAACACATTCCACTGGATTTGAACCTGGAAGGACACTCAACTGGGTCTTCATAACAATACTGCTCCAACACAAAGAGCATGGGGCAAACGGTGTATAAAGAAGTTCCACTGACCATTTAAGACACTAAACCCAATTCATGCCTAAATTTAAATTCCCTTTCCCTGAACTTTGTCTATGTAGACCCATTTATTAATTCTCATTTTTTAAGACAGCTTCATTGGTTTGTGTCACACACACAACCTAATACATCTTCTTTCTTCATGCTGATGTGTATGCTTCAATCAACATTGATTTTCTTGTTTCTGCCTCTAGTTGAGGACAAAAAAAAAATTATGTCCTTTATCTTTTGTGCTTACATAATGTTCCAGTGGAGAACAGAGAATGTGTCAACTACAGCGCAAACAGCTACCATGGGAAAAGGGACAACCTTCAAATTGCCTTTTCCACTGTCAATTATGTCAAAATTAATTTTTAAATGATAGGCTAGCATTTTTTACAAAAGAAATGAAATGTTGTGTCTACATTTTCTTTATCATTTTCCACTAACAAAAAGAGTAGAAAACTTTTCAGTCACCTCGAAGATTTTCAGACTATGATCTCACCTTTCTTTTCTTGAAAAGAGTTACTCCAAGTAACACTTTCCCCTCTGAGTCCTTTTCCTGGGTGTATTTTGACACTGTCACGTACTGTGTCTCCGAGTCCTTGGACTCCTCCTCCTCTTCTTGATCCAGCTCCTCTTCTTCCCACTCTTCAACCTTACCACGTTTGTCAGTACCTTTCCTTTCACGGGTTTCCTGTAACGTTCCTATTTTCTTGTTTTTCACTAATATTTTGAATTTCAGTGCCTAAAGAAACAATTTAAGAGAAAATTATAATTACTAATTTACAGTAAGTTTACACTATCAAAGCCATTGAACAGTCTTTTATTAGTTTTGCAGTGAGCTATCCATAGAAGAAAGATTATTCTCTCCATATCCTTACACACATCTTAATAAAACATGAAGAATATGGTGGCACTGATTGCAATTTAGCAAAAAATAGTAAGCCTGGCATGACTGGACTAGCTATCTGTAATCTCTCTTATATTCCACAGTTAGTTTTGTTCCACCAATCTTAAACATACGAAAAATTACTCGTGTGTGTGTTAAAATACAAGCCTTGTTATTGAAGTTGCACTGTTACAAATTCTGGAAGTTATCACTCACCTCTATTCACCTTCAAAAAGTGTTACATAAGATCAGAAGTAACAACATCTATCGTAATGCCTAGCATTCCCTATAAATTAAAGATCTGTAAAGACGCTTCAAAGTTCAACCGGATCCCACAGATCATTATTTTCTAGATACTTCCTATCAAACCTAGAAGCATGGCACTATCTGTGACATTTGTTCTAAACCCAAGGCCCCCCAGCTCCACCATTTCACTTCAGCTATCTCTGCCATTTTCAATACTTCATATATTTCACAAAACCATGTGCCAGCTTTGATGTATACAAAAACCATCCTGAAATACATAGCATGAAGTTCTTTTCTTAAAGAAGTTTTGACTGGTTCCCCCTTTCATTGTCCTCAGAGACTAACTTGCATATCTCTATCACCTTGGGTCTTTTACTATAACCCTTAAATTATTCTCTAAGGGGGAAGCTGATCCAAGTACACTCGATAGCTATATGCACCCAATGTGTGATCAGAGTGTCTGGCTGAAAACACAAATTCTTAGGACCTGCTTCAAAACTAGCAAATCAGAATCTTGACATAGTAAGTCCCAGGTAGGCTGCTTTAGCAATCTGTAGGCTGTTGTTTCTCATACTGAAGACTGAATCTGTTAGAAGAAAGGAACTGACTCAGGTTGTCAAGTATTCACTGCAAAGCATCTCTTAGCATGGAGGCTAAAACATCAATGAGAACTATGGATGGAAATGCTGAAAAAAAGTTCGCATAGTGGGATCCAGACTTCTGCCCCCTTCTCAGCCTTTGCTCTGCAAAGCATACCCAAGTCCTACAGCTGTATACTGCCTTAAACTGCAGCTGTGAGATAAGACATACAATCAAATGTGGCTTTCCAAGAAATCACTGTGCATGATGCTTATCAAAATACAGTCACCTCAACACTCCTGGAAACATTCCTTAGACAGCACAAGTCTGAGGTCTCTAGAATTAGTTGCAACCAAACACTTCCACTGGATATGAACCCAGTTTCGTGGGTCAATGGGATAGCAATATTTTTGTTTTCTGTTTTTCCCTTATCATGAACTTAAATGATTACCTCTGGAGAAGGCAGTCTATCTGGAAAATCATCCAGTATATCAGACAGCAGGGAGTCTCCCAGAGTGTTCTGCAGGATGTCTGCCATCACTTCTTGCTGGTGAGGGGAGCAGTGATTCTCTAAGGAGAGCACCACTGGGTATTCGGATGTCTAAAACAAATCAACCATTCCTCTGGTCATTCACAAGAAATTTTAAATACTCATAAAGCAGTTCCTCTTAACACTCAGTGTCTTTTACATTTTGCTTCTAATATTCAGTACTTTGGCAAAATAACTAAGCGTGCCTTAAAATAAAAATATTTGTGTTTTGATGAAATAAGTACCAATAAATCTCAGTGTAATTATTAATATTTGCACAAAAGTATGGAAGACTGAGGCACCTGTCAGTGGCTATTTGCTAAAATAAATTACGGCATATCCCTACAAATGGAGGATATGGACTCATTATGAGGAAATAGAACTATACACCTGTATTCTGCTGTAGACAGTCTTATAAGGAAAAGCAAGTAGCCAAAAAATAACAGTCTCCATTTTTAGTGAATATGTGAATGGATAGATCAATAGGTATAAATATTTACATATTTTAAAATGCGAAAGAAAACCCTTACTAACACTGTTTGGGAGAAACGTTAACTTCCTGCTATTTCAGTTTTAAGTTCTACAATGAAAACAACTTTTTTAGAATGAAGGAAAAAGACAAAAATATTTCCAGCTTTTAAAAATCAAGAAGAACCCTTAAGTAACAGCAGCAGCTCTACAAAGGCACTGTCTGTCCCTTGTGATCGCTGAGAACAAAACTTCCTGTTGGAACTCACCCAACAACTGTGTTTCTGTTTTGCTTCCAACTGTCATCATTAGGCACACATTTGCCGCCTTGTGAGTGAGCCCAGGGACTCACTACACAATGCAATAACCGAAGCGTCACCATGCTCAGAGCAAGAGTTATGACATTCTAATGTATGTGAACATGTTTACTATGGTTTCTATAACAAATCGCCACTCCTGCAGTAATGCCAAACAACAGAAATGTGTTCTCTAGTAGTTCATCAAGAGGTCAGCAAGACCACATCTCCTCTAGGGAGCCTGGGGCGGGGAAATCTGCTCCCTGCCTCTGGCAGTAGTTGGTGATTCCCATGGGTCCCTACAACCTTGTGTCTCTTTCCCTGATGTGTCAAATCGCTCTCCCTCCTCCTTACAAGGATGCACCCATCATGGCATCTGGAGTATACCTTAATGATACAAATCAATCTCCTTGCTCACAGACAGGACCCTAACTTTTCTTCTGCTGAGACTCACACACACACAGCAACACAGGCACTTTCCAGGGATAAGGATTTAATATTTTTGATGGGCCCTTATTTAACTCATTGCAATGTCCTCAACTACACTGATTCGCTCTAGCCTAAACAGTGGAAAGCTTTTCCTAAAACAGGTGATTTTGAGACTCCGCCATGCGATACCATAATGCAGACTCTGTAAAGTCCCAATTCCCCTTCACAGCAAAGTTCATTTTTTATCATTGTCCTCCTTGATCAGATCCAAAGTAGATGTTGAGGCATTTGCTCCTGATAAATCCAAAAATTTTTGCAGTCTACTTTCTGACCACAGGCTGTTTTAAGGCTCACTGAAGAGTCAGATTAGTGGGAAGATTTGGCAAAATGATCCACTTATAATATTGGTATCTTATCTATTTGTTTCCAGTAAGTTACATGCACTATTAGGTAGACACAAGTTTCTTTCCTAATAGTTATCAACATATTTTCACTTCACCTTTTACTCATTTTCCTCGTACTGGAAAGGCAGAGAGAGAGAGATTGGAGAGAAATCATTTTCCAAATAGCTACATCAGCTCAGTGTGGGATAGGCAGAAGCTGGAAAAACGGAGCTCCATCTGCGTCCATATGGGCGACCAGACTCAAGACCTTGAACCATTGCAGCTGCCTTCTCGGTGTACATCAGCAATAAGCTAGACTCCAACAGAGGAGCCAGAATGTGGCGACATTCTGATGTGGGATGCAGGTAGCCCATGCAGTGAATGAGCCACACATCAAATGCTCGTCCCTATCAAATCTATCTAATTTCCTTTCCTCTCATTTTCCAAATTAATTATGCCTTCAGGAAGTCAAAGCTTCAGTCGTATCTCTGCTGCAAAACTGAATTGTCTTGTTCAATTCAGAAGTCTCTTACTGAAAGCCTATTTTTATTCTTACCTCTTGCTCATTTTTTCAAATAAATTTCATTGCATATTTTAAATATATGCAATATAAAGTTGTGGGATACACATGCAGATGGCAAAGAAGCCTTACAATGAAGCAAAATGACATCTATCATTTAATGCTTTCCTGGCAAGACCAGTCAAAATTCAATTAATCATAAGTCCTATCAAAAAAAGGTACTTCAAAAAGGGTACTTTCATGGGAAGTGGAATTCAAAGGTTTTTGGTTTGGGATGTTTTGGGGGTTTGCTTTGGTTTTTGTTTTGGTGCAGTGGAGGGCTTTGTCACATAGCAAGTTCAACTACTCATATAGGTACTGGCCCAAATCTTGGCTATTCCATTTTTGATCCAACTCCCTACCAATGTGCCTGGGAAAGCAGCAGAGCACGATTCAAGTGTTCGTTCCCTGGTACCCACGTCAGAGATCCAGAAGAATCTCTTGGTTCCAGCCTCTGAACAGCCAGTGGCTGTTGTGGTCATTTGGTGAGTGAACCAGCGGATGGAAGATCTCTTTCCCTCTGCCAATCTGCCTTTCGAATAACTAAATCTTTTTTTAAAATATTTTTTGTGAAAAACATTTTAAGTTCATGTATAGCATTTTTATAATACATTTCAATAAATTTTGGAAGCCCTTCATATAAACAATTTTATTGCCAAAAGTCCTCATATTGTTCACTGCATCTTGAAGTTTTCTGTCTTTACAATGTGTTGACACAATTGTAAGAACTTTAATTTTGTTTAAATGAGGTTTAGTATATACAAACTGTTTAAGTTCTTAGCAAGTTTTAATTAAATCACTTGCAATTATACTATGAGTGTACCACAGTCTAATTACTTAAGATGGAAATCAAATGTATCAGGGAACTTCAAAATACTAGTGACAAAACGGAATCTAAAGTGATGTGGATTTTCCATGAATCTTTGAATACTTTTCCAGTTAAGTTTATGAACATAATTCAAATTGTCTAAAAGTACATAAATAGCTACACTGCAAATGGCCTCTATACTTATCCCAAACTCCTTAAACAAAAATATACCCAATTAATAGACCAGAATGAGTAAGCTGAACTTAGTTCTAGCAACAAATAGATATTTGAATCAGTAACTGTAATAAATTATTTAAAAATCTAACTCCTGATTATTCTCTACAAATGACATCCAAAGATAATGAAAATTGTCATTAACAGATATTAAAAGAGTTAGCTATTCGTTAAAAAAATAAATAAATACTTACCATTATTAGATTACTGATTCTCAAATAGCTTTTGGCCATAATCCGTAGGATGAAATACGTTTTGCACTGTAATATTCATGCAAATGCACATATGTATATGTGCATAATTAGACAAAAAGTTCCATGAACCCACATATGTCTTACTGATACTCACTCCTAAGAAATCTGCCTTTCAATTAATACTACATGGATTTTCATTTCTACCACTGGAACATAACCTAGGCATGAAATATTACTGAACTAAGAACAGTCCAAATATTACAGGATTTTGAAGCAACTATAACTAAGACATACACATACCACAAATGCATATTTCTGTATTGACTGGATAACAGTTTTAAAAAGCAGCTTGCTGGTGAGTGTATAACCGTGGTACACGACAGGCTCATCTTGCGATCCGTCCCAGCAGTCAATTTCCAGACAGCGGCATCCTTTTACAAGGGCACTGGCAAAATTTACCAAAAGACAGTATCATTCCTGAACTATGAAAAAACACACAGCATGTTGGAAAAATATTTTAAAGACACTATGATTTTCCAATAACTACATCAAACCCTGATAGGATAATTTTGTGTCTCTTAAAAACTTAAGACATTCAAAGAGCATAACAGACTACTTGTATAATACTGCACAGTGTCTGTTTTTTCAAGGTCAAATATTTGGCTTTCATTGTTGTCCATTCAAAAGTTGCTTTACAATATTAAAAAAAAGAAATGCTTTCCTGTACAACTGTAGCTGTCAAAACTGCCTTTCTGGTCCAAACAATTTTGTTTACGCTGGCCTCCACTGTCAAAAGTGGTATCAATGAGATGATGTTGACTGCCATTCTCAGAATCATAGAATGTTTTCATTTGGTTATATCAAGTTTTGGGGAATGGAACATGATGCAAGATGGGATTGGATAAAAGAGAAAGAAAGTCTTGGTAACACTTGTTCCCTAGGGAAAATGTTGCAAAAATCTAGTGGAAGATAGAAGGCCTCCTGGCTTCGAGAGCCATTTTATACGTGGCCATCACCAATTCAACTCTAAGTAAGACTTGAAGAAAATTAAAATTTAAGAGAATAAAACCTTGGACACCTGCTGATCTATGTCTGTCTGAGTCAGCATATCACAGGAAAAAGTGTGAACTGACTGCCACATAACACACCAAGTTTACAACTTCATCAGAAGTGAAGAAAATAGGATTTCACCTTCTGCTAATATCTAAAACCAGATTTGATTTTTCACCTATCAAGTAAATCTCAGTTTCTTGACCTAGACATAAAGGGTCATAAATCAGTTGTATGTACTACTGGGTTTAAATGAATTCTCAGGGTTTTTACTGCAGGGAAGCAGAGAAAAGATGTTTTATCAACACACATGCTTTGACCGACACTGTGTTGACTGGCTCTGATTGCGTGAAGACCTTTCACTGACTTTATAACAATGAATGTACAAATGGACGTGTCTCAAAATCTTCCTAGCCAACCTTGGACAGATCATTACATGCTATCCTGAAAACAGGTCGCTTTTTGCCCATGCATCACTAAAATTTATTGATTTATATTAAAGATTTTGTGACTGATTCCTCTAAGGGCATACATAGTTTGAGTCCCAGCTGCTCCGCTTCTGATTCAGTTCCCAGTCAATGTCCTGAGAAAAACAGTGGAAGAGAGCTCAAGTGTTTGGGTCCCTATCACCCACACGGGACATCTGCATGAAACTCCTGGCTGCTGGCTTCAGCTTGGTCCTGGCCAAAGTGGTTATCTAATGAGTGAACCAATGGATGGAACATTCCTCTCTCTACCTCTGTTGCTAATATCAAAATAAATAAATAAAACTTAAAAAATGGTGATGCAGTATGCATTATGCTTCATGTATGTAAATTTTTACAGGCAAATCTATAAAAATCATCATTGTGGATGCCCAGTTACACTCTTTTCTGTATTTATATATTCTCTTTCCTTTGGCATTACTTTATGAAGTCTTGAAATTTATTTCAATCACATTTGATAAAATTAGCATGTTCTTGTTAGCTGCATTGTGGTAGGAAAAGCCATATTTTTCCTATAAATATCCAAATTATTCAGGAAACTTTAGAAGGGCCATTACCATTGAAAAGAGGTTAGGAGACAAGATCAGAGGAAACATATAAGACACCAATACAGACAAATTACATTGCAATTCCATGCAAAAAGATTAGATCTGTAAGACATATACTAATCATTTCTATCCCCTGTGAGTTTGGGTTACACGCATAGCCTTTACTCTGTTCTTTGCCTCTGACGCTCTTGGGAGTCTCCAGGCATTATAAAAACAGTAGATTTAGGGGACAGCACGGTGGCTCAATTGGCTAATCCTCCACCTGCAAGCGCCAGCATCTCATATGGGTGCCAGTCCATGTCCTGGGTGTTCTACTTCCCATCCAGCTTCCTGCTTATGGCCTGGGAAAGCGACAAAGAATGGCCCAAAGCCTTGGGACCCCCCTGGCTCTTGGCTTCAGATCAGCTTAGCCCTGATCATTGTGTCATTTGGGGAGTGAACCAAGAGTTGGAAGATCTTTCTCTGTCTCTCCTTCTCTCTGTAAATCTGCCATTCCAACACAAATAAAGAAACCTTTATATATATATATGTCATATGATATACAAATAATACATGTGTAATATATATTATATAATCATAGATGTGTATACTACTATATATGTATATAATGTACGGTATACATATAAGTATATAGTAATATACACACATATTATATGTATATATTAGATTTTAAAATCAAAACAGGAGCAGGCACTGTGGGGCTATTATTCAGGATGCCTCCCTTGCAGGCGTACCTCACAATGAGCCCTAGGTGCTGTTTTTCTGATTCAGATCATTGCCAACATGCACCCTGAGCGGCAGCAGATGACAGCCCAAGTACTGGTCACCCAGGACAGAGGTCCAGTTGGAGTTCCTCACTCCTGAATTCAGTCTGCCCATTCCTAACTATTACAGGCAAATGAGGGGTCAGCCCCCAGATGAAAAATCTTTCTCTCTCCCTCTCTGTCATACACATTTCAGGTAAATACAATTTTTATAGAAAACATTAAAAGAAATATAAATACCTTACATATCCCCAAAGGTCACTTGGTCCCACTAGTTGGTCAGATACCAAATATGTATTATGTGAAGTTGAAATAAAATAATCACTTAATGGTTGAGTCATATCTTGATAAACTTTTCTACACTCTGGCTTAAATAGTAGACAATCAGAAGAACCCATGTATCTTGTAAAACCTTCAAATGACATCTGGTGTACTTGTTTAACTGTAAAAAATAAATAAATAAATAAATAAATAAGAAGCCAACATGCATTATTTAACTATTGCTGTTTTTTCAATGTTTTAAGAATATATGCAATTGTATCTACCATAAAACAATGAACTTCTGCAACTTACACATCTAGATTAGAGTAATCCATGCCAAATCACATCACTCTAATACCCTTCTGGTTATTTCTCTCACTCAACTATATCCACTGATCTAGCTTTAAAACAGGCTTTCTCTGAGTTTTATTCTTCTTAAGAATGGGTTCTTGGCATATGTTTCTGTTCTTCTTTCTTTCGCTCAATTTTATTTTCTAAAATGTATTCTTATATTTGCATGTACTTATACATAATTCATTTCTAAAATGTATTCTTATATTTGCATGTAGTTAAACATAGTTCATTTGCATAATTCATTTGCTATATGGCTTTTCACTGTGTGAGTATATAATATTTATCAACTCCTTTTATTCTTCATGAACATTTAAGTGGTTTCCTGTGTGGGGCTATTACACATAATCCTGCTATGTACAACCAGTAGCTGTGTTTTGGCTATGTACCTATTTCTCTCAGGTGCATGCCTCTACATTTAATTACTGGGTCATTTTCATATGACCATCTTTAGTAAATCAATTATGAATGTATGTGCATATATATAGCAAAATTAAACATTTAAGCAGAACATCATCTCTGGAACCAGACAATATGGGTTTACATACATTTACTTTGTATATGACTTTGAACATGTTTGCTAATGCCTCCCTATGTGGGTAATAGGGTAAACAGACAACCTACCCTTGTATACTTACATATACCATCTTATTAGCTCTATCATTGTTAGCTGCTATTGCTATTGCTATAGCTGAGAGTTTGTTTTGGTTCAGACAGAAAGCACAACGTGAACAATCAGTTTAGACTACACTTTGATCCCCTTGAACTTGTCTGCAAGAACATGCCCTCCTCAGCGAAAACGATGGAGCAATGCACACAGACCCTGATGCACATGGAGAATATGGCAGCCCATTTGGCACCATAGCAGAAGAAAGAAAAGAGAGCAAATTGGACAAGCACCCCAGCCAAATGATAATAGCAAAAACCCGGATTAATGAAGACATGAGGTTGACTGTGTCAGCCAATGGACATTGAGAGGGCTACATAATCCTTGGATCAGCATGAAAATGACAGCATTTCAGAACTATCCAAACCACTTGGGCAGAACCCTCAGAACATGCACACACCATGACCCTGGGTGGATATCGAGTGAAGTTCTCCATCCTTGGGTCCTGGAATATTTGGGAACGTGGGTGCAGCTTTCCCTTTTTTCTCTCCCCAGTCCCCAGAAACAAGAAGAAGCAGCAAATTTGGAAATAATGACTTCATCCATTTCACCCTTTATCCTTTTTACCCTAATCAACTATGTAACTATCATGAGAAATAAAAATTTTTTAAATAATAATTATTTTTCAGGGATTTGCGTTAGAGAAGTAGAAACTCAAACATGGAAGGATAAAAATTTTTGTACTAGCATTTCTTATAGAAGGAAAATATGTGAGTGTGAAATAAATTACATGAATATTATATAAATCTAAGCAACCATCAAAAATAACGCGCCATAAAAGTATATAGTGACGTAAGCAAATGTCTAAGACATTATAAAATTGATCTTGTTTAGAAAACAAGAGCTAGAAGGAAATACATATAATTGTATAGGCATGTAAAACACCTATTCCAAAGCCACGTCAGTTTTATGTTATAAAAGCATACGATATAAAAGCATGAATTAATGTATCGTGTACTAAAAATGATCATTTATATTAGTTTATTCATGTCCCCCTGTGCAGTTAGCAATCCTGAGTTTGTACAGCTCTTTTGAACTGTTAATCATTACAGAAACACTTGTCACAACAGAATATAAATTCAACCCATTTTGTGTCCTTAATACCACCAGAGCAAGGTAGAGATTAATTTCATGGATTTTTTTTAATCTCACTTTGCATATATCACATACCAGTGTGGGTTAAGACAGAAGAACGAGGAAGCATTGGAGACTGTAAGAACATGATTCAAATTGGCCTCAGTAAGACTCCAGATTGATCAATACTCATGTAAACTAATTGTGTAATCTTGTCTGTGTATGAGAGCATGCTAGAAAGTTTGTAGAAAATCAGAATTAAAAGATAACTTTAAGCACAAAAACAATTCTGAAATCAACACATAGTTTTTCACTGTGTGTGCTTTCCATAACTTTTTGAAGAGCCCGCATGTGAGAGTATCTGAGACAGGTGAAGGCTCAAACGATGAAATGATCAATAGTGTTTCATTGAACTAAAATGCAATCACAATTTCCAGATGCCCCTGCCATAACTCAATATCCCTTTGAACCTTTCAATTTAACACCTGAAGCTCACAGCGCCAAACACAGCACCAGTGTAATATTCACTGTATCAGTGCCTCTGAAAGTGATCATCTATAAATATGTGACTTCTAGTCAAAAATTACATAGAGAGCTTGAGCCAACTCATATGTCAATTTACTATTCCTTCGAGAAAATAATGCTGAATTTGTCAAATGTGTTTAGTTAGTAACATGCTTGCTTTACATTCTGGTGTAAGCTCTTTATCCTGCTTTAAACTTGGAAAAGTTTAATGGTGCTGAGTGCAAACTTTTAACTAGCATTGCACTGAGTCATAAAATTGCAACCCTTGAAACCTCCCAGCATCCTTGCCTGGTAATAAGTCACGAATCCAAAGTCTTAGCTATGACCTACAAGATCTTACGTGAGGAGCTAGCCTTGTGGCTTTGAGGGGTTGGACCACTGCCTGCAAAGCTGGTAGCTCATATGGGCACTGGTTTAAACCCTGGCTACACCTGCAAATGCACCAGGAAAGCAGCAGAACACAGCCCAAATCCTTGGACACCACCACTCATGGCTCCTGGCTTTGGTCTGCCCCACCTGGCTGTTGTGGCCATTTGGGAAGTAAACCAAGATCTCACTCTCTGTCTTTCTCAGTCTCTCTCTCTCACTCACTCACTCCATCTTTCAAATAACTTAAACACAGGAAGGGGGGGGGACTTAAAAGGGAAAAAAACTGTATGATTTGATGTCTCTGTGCTCCTGTAAATTCTTCTCCCACTCATCCTCTAAGTTCTTTTTTTCTATATTTATTTATTTTTTAAATATATATTCTCCAATTCTAGCCCAAATGCTTCTCTTCCCTGGACCGCAGATGTTTCTACAGTTTTGCTGTTTACGCCTCAGCTTTATATCACACACTTAGGGAGAATTCTGATAGACACCCAGCCTGACTAAGATTTCCCGGGTCACCTACAATCCACTACCACTTTGGTTGAATTTTTTTTTTTTTTTGCCACAAATACCATATTCTCTCTGATCTACAGCATCTAATACACAAGACAAGAATATAAAACACATAACCCCTATATGTGAGATTACCATACCGTATACAGTGTCATCACTCCTGAATAACAATAGGATTTCCACTTTCATTTGCATTAGACTTTTACATTATGCTGTTCATTTTCTTTCTTTTCCTCCACTTGCTACGTCATGATGCAGCTATGTGTCATAAAGCTAAAGTGTAGCAGTAACATGAATGAGTATGCCACTGTAATAACGTGCAGAGGAGAATAACAAGAGAGGAGTATGAGCAGGAAGGAGGGGGGAATGGAAGCTCCTCTGGGTCTCTAATTGAGTATGTGAAAAATAGTAAATCTAGCCATTTATATAAATTAAAAATGGATAGTAAAAAAGGGAAAATAAGGATTTCAAAAGACTGTTAATGTGTAAGTTGGTGAAAGAATGTTTGGTTCTGCTAGAATCCATAATATTATATTGAACACTGGTAGCCCAAACTTACTCCAAGGGCAGAGCGTGTATTTCCATAGCTGGCATAGTTTGAGCTACAGCCAGTTAACTTGTCAGAGGCTGGATATTGTGCGTTAACCAGGTGTTTTGTGCAATATGTATGTGCTTTTCTGATTTATCTTAAAGTGAACATTAGATGAGAAAATTTAAATTGCTTCACCTATTGAAAAATGAATCAAAGATTACAAATTTGGTGGAAAAAAATCGTTATCCTAAACTGTCATTCCATTTAAACCAAATGACTAGGTGTTAACAAATACAGAAAAATCAAAAATCCTTTTAATATTTATAAAATGCTATATTTTAACCAGAAAAAAAATAGCTTTTGTAATATTTTCCTTTTAGGTTTGTTTTCATTTCATCAATTTTCATATGTTTTTAATAATTTAACATAAAATACGGAAGATTATTTTTAATGAGACCAAAGCACTTTCTTCTAGCAGGATGCACTACATTCTTTATCTTACCTTCACACCTAAACTCATCTCTGCGAAACTGACCTGTGCGGAAGCCCTGAATCACCTAACCGGAAAGACTGCTTTGGTCATACAGCTGCTGGCTAAAGAGTTACAGAGAGCCTATAAAATAATAAAGTATCCATACTTTGTACTTTTTCAGAACAAAGTTGATTCACTCAAACATCTGATTTTGCAAATCATAATTCATAAACTATTTTACAGGTAAATATCCTGATTTTAAAAAGTTGAAAGACAAACATACCTTCTTCAATGGGCTCATATTTTTCAATGATCTCATAGGCAATAGATTTACTCATATCAAAGACATATTGTTCTTGTACCAGAAACTGAACCAGATTATTTTCAAAGAGAATCTTTCGGTTTTCAGAATATGTATTGAAAATCTCAAGAATTTCTTCTCTGTGCGCAATAGTCCGATAAATTGCTCTAAATTCTTCTATGGTGATCCTTCCTTGCTTCAGTCTGTCATTATCCTACTAAAAAAAAATGACTGGTGAGCTCAAAGAGCGAGCATAAAAATACAGAAAACAAATGTTAGAATATTCATGCAATGTGCATATGTATATGTTTATATAGAGATGGCAATTTATACTTGACAGATGACAAAACATTAAATTCTTATTACAGAACAAAAAATACATGACTTCATAGAGTGATGTCAACATTGGATAAAAGTTAGTGTATTATCACTCTGCAAAATCAGTGGCCACAGTGGCTAAAGAAAGTGGGATTGAAGATGGGAACCCCAGGGTGTCTATCATGTCCCATTTTTGTACTCCACTCTACATTGCCCCCTTCTAAAATCCATAACAGGGTGTGTGCATTTCTAGGACCTTATGCAGTGTATGCCATCACTGCTGGAAGTCAATCAGACACCTTCAAGCCTGCTACCCATCTGCAGAAGCAGTGGCATTTCCATCACCGTGAATAAGTAAAGTTAACCACTGTGGGATTTGAGGCAGGGACAAGCAAGTGAGATTCTAAAAAGACAAGGAGGTAGATTGAGTTCAATTTATTAAAAGTAGTAGAACTAGTTTGAGGGTCTAAAAGAACCAGACTAACTCCCTCCAAAACACGTTAGCATGTCTAGTACATCACAAGCTAGAAGATAGGAGAAATTGCGGATGATGGGGCAGAAAATACGCAATTCAAGTAAGAGATGGTGAACCAACAATGCGGAATAAATGGCACTGACATTATGAAAGGAAAAGTTGCAGGAAGTCAGCACCTTAAAATTCCAGACTCACAATGAAGAAAGTTTATTAATACATGGGCAGAGGGAGTTAGAACAAATACAATAGCAGTATTCTAGGAGTATATCGCATACTGAGCAATGGAAGTTCAACTTAGAAGGAAGCTTAATATGAAAAACGCCATTTTTTTTTCTTAACAGCTTAACTTCCTCATTACATTCCAATCAGCCTCCAGACAGGCAGCATGTGTTAAAGGACAGTGCACTCAAGTGAAAAGCTGACAGCATTTCTAGACAGTCGAGGGAAACTCTTGATCTCATACTCCAAAGGGTGGGGGACTTGGCACAGACTGAACATCATACTGGACATAGAGGATGCTACCTATGTCTAATGTCAAATCCAATCTTAATGCTGCCAAAGTATTCATCGGAAAATACGTAATATTTCTCCACCCAAATAATGGCTGCTCTACAACAGTCATCTCTGACAACTTTTTTATGCTCTAAGGCCCCCTGACATGCACTGAACACCCACTGCTTCCCATTTTAAGGTCAAGTAAGAATACTTGCTCTACCACGGCATCTGGTATAAAACCCCAAGTTACACAGTTTCTTCTCAGATTCTCTGTTAGAATTATGTGTGTAATTTGTTATAACTTACTTACAAAGCAGCAATTTCTACTTTTCTTCTTCAACTTCAGAGATACCCGGTCCACTTTTTACAACTTATATTTTTTAACATTGTGACATAATGTTACAGATTTAATAACTCCAGCTAATCACTTGGTAAATATGAAGACTAAAGGTATGTCCAATAATAACGAATTTCCAAAATTAAGAGAAATACTGCTTTACTTTTAACAAACAACTGAAAGCATAACAGATTAGCCACATGTGTTGAAATGAGATGTAATAATTCTATAAAATATTTTAAGCACTATAAGTAAAATATTATTACAAGATAGTAAGATAAACACTTTCTAGTCAAATAATTTAAACAACTGAGAACTGCCATTCAAGTCAAGACTTAATAATAATTAATTTTATAAAAAGTAATTCAGAATATAGAGCCATGATCATCAAGTTATATATTCTTTATACAAATCCATGTGAGTCAAGAATCTCAACTTAGACCACTGGAATTTTTTTGTGACCAAAGTAAGATGCATTATGGCTCATTTTATATACTCCAGAAAAAGATACACTCCCTAAGTGTTGGAAAGATTAACGTAAGAATTGAAGCAAAAAGTGTTCAATGCTTAAAAAGCTTAATCTTTAGCTAACCAAAACATTCAATCAGCCAATACACTATTCCAAAACATTCTATTAAATCAAACCTTTGATGCCTATAAAGCAATTTAGCCTAAAGCAAAAAAGTATTTAGTAGAGGACCAAGAATTAAGATACCAGGTAATATAATATTATAATCATCAATCTTGCCTATAGAAAAAGCTAAGCTTTGTTTCTAAAGTATAAATGTTAATTTTAATGATGTGTTTGGATATTCTAAACAAATTCTGACCCTCTAATTTTTAAAATCAGTATTATTTTCATAACCACTTTGAAAAGATTTTTTTTAACAAACAGACCTACAGGCCTGTCTATATATAAAACATATAAACATCAAATAGCCCATTTCTGTGCACTTACTACTGTTGATTGAGTATACTACTGGGGTACAATAAAATGTTCAAGAAAATGGAATTAAAAGTTTATTTTGGCATGGATTTTAATAGTATCCATTTTCCATTACCATTCTTTGAAGATCTCTTGTAGGCATAAAATTTAAAATACTTTCTGCACAAAAATAAACAGTTTTTAATTCCACTTTCCATGAAACTTTTGAAATATCCTTATCTAAAAAATACTTTTAAATATGGCATGTATTTTATTCTGTCTCAGATCTATAGCAATTTGATAAAAATTTAAAATCTACATTTTACATTAGATGTAGATTTCAATATATTACCACTTCTATTTTGTGTTGAACATGATTTTCATCAAACCAGGAAGCTCATAGCTGTGTCTCCCTTTGGGGATATCGTTGGGAGGGAGATCCTGCTCCTGCAGATCTTTCCTAAGACCTGTGGGTCTTAGATGTGGTAGGCAATATGAATCCATTAAACACTGAAGGCTCACAGAGGTGTACACCACTCAGATTTACAGGAAAGCTGTGAAATACAATCTCCTGAGAAATACAGCCTTTCCTGGTTGAACCTCCTGTGTGTGGTTGATCAATTTGGGGGCTGACTCTTACTGGGATGTGGTTGTTAGTAGACAATTTTCTACAGGTCTCTTCTGGGTTTCCCCACTGCTTATCTGGAAGGTTAGCATTTCAAAGACGTTTGCACAGAAACAGCCTTTGTAAAGACAGCATAGGAGAAAACAGGCATGTTTGTAGCCCACTACAATAATGACATGAACAGCCTCTAAAAGGAAGATCAGCCAGTTTTACTGCCCATCATAAAAGATCTAGGTCACTAAGTTTGAGGTCCCTCTGTTGTAAGACAATCCACTGCCCATGTTCTCTAATGTTCTTCCTATCACATTTTGGGAACTAGGGTCGGAGAAATGGTAGCAGAAAAAAAAAAGCTAATACCATGGCCACAATTATCTTTCTGAGTGGGTAGTAAGCTGTGCCTTTTCTCTGACCCACAGCCTGCCTCCACCACCATTCATGATACTACATGAAGTTAATGTGTTGGCTTATAAGTAGGGTTAAACCCCAGAGGCTCTTAAAGATAACACTTTCTTTACCTGAATGCCCATTTTCAAAAAACAAAAGTGTAATCAGAATGGCTCTGTTCCCAACTATCCTAATTGGCCAGTCTCACATTCTTGCTTGATTATCTAAGAAATTGATCACCTTCCAGGCAGAAAACTCAGTTGAAACATTTGGTGTTTCTTTATTTGGAAAGCCAAGTTGTCTCTCCTGCTAGTTCTTGAAACAGAATTTTTGGCATGATCTATACTTCAGCTTAATCTTTCAGATTACTCCCTCTTTCTTGGTGAAATGGTTTTGGGTTTTTTTGTTTGTTTTGTTTCATTTTGAGAGGCAGAAAGATAGAGTGCTCAGCACACAGATTCATTCACCAGATGTCTGCAATGACCAGAGTGTCAAAGCTAAGAGACAAAAACTCAATCCAGTTCGGTGCGTTGGCTAAGACAGTAATATCTCAACCACTACTTCTGCATTCCAAATCTACATCACCAGAAACTAAAACGAGGAGCCAGAAATGGGCATAAAACTCAAGCATTCCAGTATGAAGTACAGGCATCTTAACCATGAGGCAAAATATCTGCTCTCTTTTTTGAGCCTTTGAACCATTTTATGGGGGATCTGATCGATGCCCTTTGCATCTGCTATGTTTTTGTTGTCAAATCAAAGAAAACATTGCCAAAATCAATGTCAAGAAATTCTGTCCTGCATTTTCTCCAAAGGACTTTATAATTTCACATGTAACATTTAAGCTTTTAATGAATTTTGAGCTGATTGTTGTGTTAGACACATGTCCTACTTATCTCTTGCTTCCAGGTACTAGTTTTTCTAACACCATTTATCCTTTGACTGTTGCATATTCTTGGTATCTCTATGAAAGATCAGTTGCCTGTACATGAGCAGACTGATCTCTCGGCTCTGTTCCATTCCATTGTGCTGTTTATATATCCATATCATACCACTTTAATTACTGCACATTTTAAACACATTTTGAAATCATAAATTGTGATATCTCCAACTGTGTTCTTTTCCAAGGTTATTCTGGCAAACCTGCACCAAATATTTTGCTCAAGAGAATTTTAAGATTTTTTCTATTTTTAAACACACACACACATACACACCTGTCACCAGCGAGTGGGAGGAGGAGGAGGACAGTCATTTGGCCTAGAGGTCAAGATATCATTGAGGTATCTAATGTCCCATGTGGAAGGGCATGACCAGCTCTGCTACCACTTCCAGTTCCCTGCTAATGCATATCTTGGGAAGCACTGGTGACATTTCAGGCAGGTTGGTCCCTACCACCCCAGTAGAAATATTCATGTTGAGTTCCCAGCTCCAAGGTTCAGTCCAGCCAAGCACCACACACTGTGGACACTTGGAAATGAACTGACAGTAGGGAGCACTCATTATATATTGCTCTTGCTGCCTCATAAACAAATAAGCAAAGAAACAAACAGATGCCATCGAGGTTTTGAAGGAGAGTGCAGTAAATCCTAAATCTGTAGATTATCTTGAAAAGTAGGGATATATTAAATGGAATTATCTTTCCACTTATTTGTGACTCATATATTTTTTTCTTCTTCAATGTTTTACAGTTTTCTGTTTAAGGTTGACTTTCCACAAGGGTTTCCTTGGTTACTTTTATGTCTAAGTGTTTTATTTTTTTACTAACACAAATGAAATTACTTTCTTGATTTTTTTGACAGTTCATTGCTGCTTTATACAAAAACAACTGCTTTTTTATATTGCTTTTGTATTCTGCTACCTTACTTAACATATTAACCCTAATAGCTTCTGGTACTCTATTTAGCGTAGCATTTTCCATCTATAACATCATGTCATCTGTAAACAATAACAACTTTTACTTCACCATTTTCATTATGCATGTCTTTTATTCTTTTTTCTTAAGTAATTGAGTTGGTTCAGATTTCCCCTACTATGCTGAATAGAGCTAGTAGTAGTGGTGGCCTTCCTTGCCTCATCCTATTCTTTGAAGAAAACCTTTCTGGCTTTTACCATTCAACATGATATTAACTGAGGGCTACTCAAGTATGGTCTTTTCTGTACTAAGATAAGTTGTATCCATATTTGAGGTGTGGAGCTCTTGCTTGTTTACTTCACATACACAGTTTAAACCACATGATACATTCCACCTCATCCTGGCACACCCCTACCCTCTCCCACTATTGTTCTAATTTTCACGATGCCATACTTTGAATTTTCTGTGTAGTCACAAGCTCAACCTTTCACTAAATGTAGGCTTCAATAGATGGTAAATAGAAAAATCACTGTTCCTCAAGAGTATAAATAGGGATATAAAAACTAATCAAATCCCAAAATGTTAATTTACCCATATATATACCACATTTTTTGCATTTCTTATGATTATGTGGTTTTTATTTTTTCATTATATTGATGTAGTAAATCACAATGATTAACTTCCATATGTTTAAGCAAACTTGCATGACAGAAAGAGATCCAATTTGCACATAGTAAATTATCTTTTTCAAGACCAACTGAAATCAGTTTGCTAATATTTTATCATGGATTTTGCATCTGTGTTTATCAGTGATATGGCCTATAGTTATCTTGTGGTGTCTTTGTTTAACTTTAGTATCTGGATGATAGTGGCCTTATAAACTGACATTGGAAATGTTCTCCCTTCCATTTTTTGAAAATATTTAAGGAGGAATGGTATTAAATGTTTAGTAGAATTCACCTGTGAAGCCACTTGGTCCTGCACTTTTCTTTATTAGGAAATATCATTTATTTGTGGGATTGCCAGCTAATTCAGTTTCCTTATTTGTTATTGAAATATTCAAGTATTCTAATCTTCTTAATTCACTCTTGGCAGTTACATGCTTGTACAAAGTTCTTTCTTCTTGGTATTCCAGTTATTACTAACAGGAACAATCTTTTATTTCCACTCTGTGGGACATGTTTCATTTCTAATCATAACTGAGTCTTCCTTTATATATACATACACACAAGCACACACACACGTGTGTGTGTGTGTGTATATATATGCGTGTATACACACACATATATACACACTTAGGGGTGTTGGGTTTTGCTATCTTTCAGAAAAAAAGAACAATTCTTCATTACACTGATTTCTTTTAGTTTCTCCTATTCCATGTATATCTGTGCCAGTCTTTATTATTCTCTTCCTTTGTTAACTGTGAACTTGGTTTCTTGTCCCATCCCTTTTGTAAACACCAGCATCCCATTTGTTTAGCATTTTATCACTTTCATTATTTTAAAAATTACAAAATCAATCCTATGTTTGCATGTTGTATTTCTATAAATTATATTCCTGTGTGCCCAGGAAATTTTTCCATGTGAAATTGTCTGATATTGTTTCAAATTTTATCAAAAACTTTTTACTTAAGTACTCTTCATTTGTTTAAAAGGGTCATTAACATAATTCATTTTATCCTTAAGAGACTAATTTTTTTATGTGTTTCTTTAGAAAGCATCTAAATAGCTACTAATATTACTTAAACTGATAGGGAGCAGAATAATACCATTCTCACCTGAAAAATGTGTTTCACATGAACATAATTGCATTGGATATCTAATTTTTCAAGCAGTTTATGAGTTTTTTCTAAGTTAATTTTTCCGCCTCTAAAGTCATCCTGAATCTTCGACAAAAACCATGTAGAAAGCATGAAGTGGTTAAGGAAATTCTCATACAAACTCGTTGAAGTCACTGATCTTAAATTCTCGATCTCTTTTCAGCATACTATTTTTTCTCAAAAAGCAGTCTATTTTGTGCATAAAGTTGATGCTACAATAAATGCATGATAAATAATACCTAAAACAAAATTAAGTGCTACCATTTTGCCATCAATGGAGAAGAGGGAATAGCATAATAAAATACAGGAGAATAAAATGTAAACATTGCAAAATAGAGCTATTACTTGGGAAACATGTGAAAACATTATTAAACTCGGCTGCCCAAAGGCATGGACTTAGGAGGCAGCTGGTCTTCAAGACCCACTGCAAGTCCTCATCACTATCAATTCCCTCAGCCAGAAAAAAAAATGGTTAATATAATATTTCATTATGGGGAAGGAGTTCTTTTATGTAACGGAATAGAGCTTCTACTTTCAAGTACCAAATAAATAATAACCATTACTGTTCTGATTATTATTATTAGTCAATTGTCTAGCTACACATGTCCCAAAAGGGCAACACTTAGAGCGCCATCAAAAAGGAGTTAAGAGATGACACAGTATATATTTACAAGAAACAAAAAACTAAAACAATCAAGTTTATATATACACAGATTTTAAAAAAAACCTACAAAAATTTATAACACATCAAGTTGGAAAACTAAAGATGTGATGAAATAAATATGACAATCCACATAACATCATAAAACTAATAGGTTAAAGTTGTTAAAAATTCTGCTCAGTTTCACAGTTTAACAGCTAATGAGAAAGCCTTCAATTTAATGGCTATGACTTAATCTGACAAAATTCGCATTATTTCAAGGAAATGAGTCAGAATTCTAAGGCAACAAAAGCTTAGGGCAGGTGTGAAAGGAAGCCAATCACACAAGTGAGACAGGCTTAAGTCCCATAGTCTTCAAATATGAGGAAATCAAGAGACAGGAGATGCAGAAAGAGAAAGGGCTTCACAATGGATATCTTGTTTCCATATTTTCATGACCTGTTGTGACCGTTGTCCTCATTTGGCATGGTCATGGGTCCCATACATATTCGACTTTAGTCATCAGCTGTTGTTGCCACTGTCACCAATTTGCTAGAGAGAAAGCAGAGAACACACAGTGGTTTGTCACAAACGTCTTTGTTCCTAGAAGTAAGCTCATTCTTCAACTCCACAGAAAGGTGCAAGTTGTTGTCCCAGCCCTACTCTGACCTGGAAGTCTTTTTTGGCTTCTTATTTACATTCTGTCCAGCTCCAAAACCACAGTGCCAAGAGATGTGGCACTGTCATCTTTCCTCAACCTGCCATGATAACTTTGTTTTATTTGTGCTCTTTTGTTTAAAGCCATCAAGCTTGTCATCACAATGTGCTGCTGAGGGTTGGACAGCCATTCAGAGGATCCGAGTACAAATCAATGCCACTGTCACCCTTGAGAGGTGCAAAAAATGATAAAGCATTCTGTAGCAATTCAGTGCTGCTGTGGCTCTCAATCCCTGACAACACACAACATACTCAGAGACACACCATTGTAGAAGAAATCTGTTCACGTGGCTAAGTTCTCAAAAAAATTCTTCCAAATTGGTATAGCTTGTTGGTTGGTCACCACACTGTCAGGTGACTTTTTTTTTTCTTTTGGTCTGCATACCCATTGTGATATCATCAAGAGTTCTGCACCTCATAAAAAAGCTTCTTTATGATTTCATCAGGAAACTCAAAGCTTGCCAGACAGCCTGTTTTCATGGTTGGGCATAAGACTCTCAAGCTTGAACGTTTAACATCTGAAAGAGAAGGCTGTCTCATGGAATGTTTTCTCATCCTTTGAATATTCTTTATTTCAGAAGCTTGGCTTCTGTGGCAACCAAACATGGCACTTAGCGTTCTGAGTAGGAAAGAGAAGGAAAGAGTCATCCGCAGACTGCTGATACAGGCTCCGCCAGGGGAATTTGTAAATGCCTTTGATGATCTCTGTCTGCTTATTCGAGATGAAAAACTTATGCACCATCAAGGTGAGTGTGCCGGCCACCAGCACTGCCAAAAATACTATGTCCCACTCAGCATCGATGGACACGCAGTACTCTTGTCCCACCACAATGTCATTGGGGATTACCGATTTTTTGACTATCAGAGCAAACTTTCTTTCAAATTTGACCTGCTTCAAAATCAACTGAAAGACATTCAAAGTCACGGGATCATTCGGAATGAGACAGAATATCTGAGAACTGTTGTTCTGTGTGCCTTAAAACTGTACGTGAACGATCACTATCCAACAGGAAACTGTAATGTACTGAGGAAAACCATCAAGAGTAAGGAATTCTTGATTGCTTGCATTGAAGACCACAACTACGAAACTGGAGATTGCTGGAATGGCCTTTGGAAATCAAAATGGATTTTCCAAGTGAATCCATTTCTAACCCTAGTCACAGGGAGAGTCTTTGTGCAAGCCCACTACTTCAGGTGTGTCAACCTTCACATGGAAATCTCCAAAGACATAAAAGAAAGCTTGGAAGTGGTCAACCAAGCTCAGCTGGCTCTAAGCTTTGCAAGGCTTGTGGAAGAACAAGAGAACAAGTTCCAAGCTGCTGTCATAGAAGAATTACAGGAATTATCGAATGAGGCTCTGAGAAGGATTCTCCGGAGGGATCTCCCAGTGACACGCACTCTGATAGACTGGCAGAGGATACTCTCCGACTTGAACCTGGTGATGTATCCTAAACTAGGATATGTCATTTACTCCAGAAGTGTCCTGTGCAACTGGATCATATAAAGGATTGCTCCTGGCAATTTTCTAGACCTCCTGTCGTTGTTTCTGGGCAATGATTCCTGAAGTTGGGCAACTCTATAGACAGGCCTATGCTCATGGTCAATACAAGTTTAAGGAGAGAGATGAGTTTAAGTAGTGTTTTTACTTAGGAAATCTTTCTACATTCACTAGCCAGGCACGAAAGGGAGTAGATGCATTTCACAGTGGTAACTACTACAATGATAGAAATCTGATCTTAGAATCTCAAATAGCTATACAGAATGCAACACTCCAGAAATATTGTGCACATGGTCAAGGTCAGGCTATACATGGCTGTGTTTGTGTGTAGCAATGACTTCTGACTTTCTCTGAAACTGCCAAAGTATGCAAATGTCTCAAGCGGCCAGGGTCAGGCTCTCCACTGCTGTGTGTATGTAGGCATGGGAGAATGGCTGCTGACTTTCCTTGGATTGGCCGGTGTATTCATTGCTGTCTCAGCACTAAGCGCTAGCCATCTGATAATTCATTTCACAAAATTTTAAACTCACAGCTCTATCTGTAAGTGCTGGTTTTTGACCTTGGGATAGAAATTGGTGCTTTACAGACAATTAGAGAAATATTCAGCTCCTGCTATATCAGAGCTTTTTAACGTAATATTTGTTGACACTGCTGGATATTAAGAAGTTATATATATATATAAATTATGGTAAATGCTGAGAGTATAAAGTATTTTGGCCCATTTTCTTCAATCTAATTTTATTAAACCATTTTTTAAGTAGTAACAATTTACAACATATAAAAATGTAGACTATTCTTTTTTACATAATTCATATATCATAAACATTGTCCCATGTCATTAAAACCTCTATGAGCAAATAAATTCAATTATTTACATGATATTCATACTATAGATCCCCCATAACAAATCACTCATTTCTCATATATAATTTAGGTTTTAAGCTTTTCATTTATGTTATAAATTATGCAATGGTGAACCATTATTTGCATACATTGTGGATTATCTGCCTCAAATTCCCCCCAAATTTGCACATCAAAAAACATGAAGATATTAATGTTCTGCCAACACATTGCCAAGTTGCTCTCCAGAAAGAACTTAACAAATTCACGATTCTTTCAGGAGCATCAACAGAGTGTCCAATTCACTACAGTAATCCTGATAATATTAAACATTAAATTTTCTTCAATGAGCAGCAAACGCAACTTAAAACAATACTAAACCAAAACAATGTATTTAATTAACTTATAATACATTATATCAAATGCATTCCAACAAGAACATGACTTGGGAGTTACTTTCTTTAAATGAAGACTGGCTTAGTCAAGATTCAGTTATTACCTGTTTCTTATCATTTATAAGAAGCATGCACACACAATTACAGCCACACTATGAATGCACACACAAGCATGCCTTGGCATATAAAAGCACAAAAGCACATACTTACACAAAATAGTATAATGATGGACTTGTGACTGTGGCTGAAGGACTATACCATAGTAATAGCATTTGGGAAAACAGTGGTGGGTAAGGGCAGTGGGAGGGTGGCAAGGGAAATCCATGAGCCTAAGGAACTATACCAAGAAAAATAAAAATTAACAGAAAGTTGTAATCTTGAGAGGCCATTGTGGTATATAATAGAGATAAGAGTGGTAATGTTTTCTTAATCAGAATCTGACCTTGTCTACTCCAAATTTTTCCATTATTTTCTGTCATACTATAGGTACTTGAATAAATGAGTGAAAAAATGAACAAGGATAACAAACACATGACACTTGTAAGGTTTAAGGCCTTATGATTTTTCAAACCACTTGTGCCTACTTTTCCTTAGGAATCAGGAATTCTGCTGCAGATTTCCAGTGTGCTTGCTCGCTCTCGCTCTCTCCCTCCCTCCCTCTGCCCCTCCATACCTACCTACCTCTTTCCTTCTTCCCTTCTGTCCCCCTCTCTCTCTCCCTTCCCCCCCCACCTACTTCTATTTTCCTCTCTGCCTCCACCTCTCTCTCCCTATCCGACCTCTCTTTGCCTTTCAAATAAATAAATTCTCAAAAGCTGTCAATATCATAGTTGTTCATTCCTATAACCATTCGTCAATTAGCATCATGGAACTTTAGAAACTTATTTCCTCAGTTGCAGCTGCATCTTCACTTATTCCTACTTTAATTCCCATCATGTCTCTTCATTTACTATACCCAAAACCCAAACACAGATAGCTTCTAAAATTCAGCTTCCCATCGTCAGCTTTTGTCCTTTTGGAGATATAACTGATATACAAAACTTGCAAAATTTAATATATATGGCTTGCCCGGCTAGCTGATTCAGTAGAGCATGAGACTCTTAATGTATATAGCATCTCAACAATGCATTTATATACTTATGTAGGATTTTAATAAAAATATTTTGAGACGTTTTCCCATTTGATAACTCTTGATGTACACAATATTTTTGTATTATATTAGGTTGTTCCACAGACCTCTAAAACTTATCTCACATTACAGAAACTCTATACCCATCGACAAATACCCCTGTCACCCGGCAACTACCATACTACTCCCTGCTTCTATGGGTTTGAATATTTCAGGTACCTCAGTGTAAGTGGATCCATGCAGCATTTTTCTGTATTAGCTTATTTTGCTTAAAGTAATATCCTCTACATCACCTATGTTGTCTTTCCTTTCCAAGCTAAATAATATTGACATTATTGAGATGCTATGAATATGCTTAGACTTGATAGTGGTGAGAGCATCATGGAAACAGTATCTCTGCACAAACTCATCAAAATAATATTTTTTGTATGTACATACACATTACACTATCATTCTCGCAGTACACACCTGTTGCTTTCATATCTTGCCTACTAGGAATGATACTGCAATAAACATAGAGATGTAGGTGTTTCTTCAAAATCTATTTTCTTGCCTACTATGGTATTTCTATTTTTCACATTTTAAAAAATCACCATACCATATCCCATAGTGACTACACCACTCTACATTCCTGCAACATTGAATAAGGCATCCAATCTCTCCACATTCTCAGCACTTTGGTCTTCGCTTTTGCTTTCACTTTTAAAGTAGCCATCCTTGCAAGTTTGGAGTGATATGACAGCTTTGATCTGCATTTCCCTCATGATTAATGATACTACCTTTACACATCATTCCCACTCACCAAGGTTTTAAGCAACTGCGCTGTTCATCACAACACTCGTCAGGTGTGACAGGAAAATTCTAGCACTCACTCCCCATGACCTATTTTTAAGTAGCTCTTCAATACTTTGTTTTTTATGACACATGTATCTCTGTATATCTCTCTCTTCCATAATGATTTCAAAACAAGTTTGCTGTCCTTGATCTTATCACTAAGCACTGTCTTCTGACAAAAAAAAAAAAAAAAAAAAAAAAAAAAAAACCTTGACCACATTCTGCCTCAGGAGCTCAGCATAAACATACCTCTGCATTCAACTTGGCCTCCAGAACATTCCATCTTAGCGCTGCTTTTCCTGGGCCACAGGTCTCCTCCTCTTCCTAATCTCAGCTCACCCAGACTCTGTAGGTGAAAATAAGATACTCACTAAACAAGCCTGCCTTTGTTTCCAATCACCTTGACACTGAACTTCATTTACACATTTCCACTACGCATGTTCAAGCTATGCAGTGTCCAAATCAGCATCTCTAGATTTAAATCTCTTACTCTGTGCTTTCCACCTTCAGGAAAATTACTCTTTTTGTTTTGCCTGTGAAAGTAGTATCTTTACATTAACCCAAGATTAAAACTCAAGAGGCACTGGTGTTGTGGCTCAGGGCATCAAACATCAAAGTATCAATTCAAACTCCAGCTTCTCAGCTTCCTATCCACCTACCTTCTAAGGCACCTGAGAAAGCAGCAGAGGATAAGCACCTGGGGCCACCCTCACGGAAGACACAGATGAATGTCCAGGCTTCTAGCTTCTGACACCTCACCCAGACCCAGGCATCATTTCAGTAGCTAACCAGCGTATAGAAGGTCCCTTTTCTGGTATTCTCAAATCAATACATCTTTAATGATAGTACACTTTTAAGGGCCCTTAGTTTTTTCCCATTTAGTCACTGAGAATTATTTATCCCATGCCACCTTGTTAATACTGTTGATTCTACTTATCAGATTTGCTACCTGATTTCCCTTTACTTTGTCTTTTTATCTCCAGTCTATTCAATGAAGTGCTGCTGAATTAATTTCCAAAAACATCAGTGTTTACTCATTGATGTTACTCCCAGTGTTGATCAAACTTTTCGGATCAAACACTAGCAAGAATTTTACACATATTCTGTGAACAACTAACAAATGGCTGATGAATATTAAATTTCCAGAAGAGACCTCCCACTAGCATTTCAGGTTGCTCAAATCTGCAGAGGTAATATTTTCTAAAGACAAAAGAGAGTTTCTGAGAGCAACATTCCTCAATCCAATGAAGTTCTCCACCTTTCAGGAATTCTAATTTACAGGTATCTCTGAGTAGGAAGAACAGCTTGCATTTTAAATATCCATCCTAGTATGGCACACACTCCGAATAAAATTCCGCAACTACATTTTCCTGACAACTCAATCTTTATGTCTTAGCACATGCCAAGTGGACAGCAACTCCTTAAGGAGATTGCAATGACAAGATTTATCTTTCAAATTTAATAAACCTGGGTCCCAATTGGAAATCAATGACAAAAAAAATGAGTAATTCAAAGAAGCTGTGAGAAAAATGATTATTAACAAAGACATGGGAAGCCAAGGCAGTGAAATAGCACAGAAGCTGTTCAGATATTTACAACCAGACTGAGAATGCCCATTGCAACCTGGAAGGAGGAGGCTACTGTCATATATAGGCTCACTCTAAGAAGAAGCAAAGCCACGTGTGGAGGGACAGTGGGAGAAGACCCTTCAGGAGAAAAAGAACATAAAAGCTCTCCTCCTTGCCCTTGCCCCCTGTCAGAGCTTCCCATTGCTAACATCAATCAAAACACATATACTAGGAGAGCCCATTGCTGTGGTTTATAC